CTCAGCACTTATCCCTTCCATACCCATTAAGCTGTTCTAGTCTTGATACCCATGGTAATGGGATTGCTGAGTCCTCGTGGCTCACAGTTTACTGCAATAGTAGTTGCAGGTATAGGTAATGTGATGCTCTAACATGAGAGCGATGCTTGATTGCTTTTGGAGTTCTTCTTCTTCTTCTTTGATCAAGGGAATAGGTTCCGGGTCGGGGAGCCTGGGATTAGCAGGGTGGATGTTGTTCTTTGTTTTGTTTTGATTTCATCCGTAGTCGGATCCTGCTCTGCTGTATGGTGGTTGCTATGTATTGATGTATTGTTGTATGAATGTTGTAACTAGTGGCGAGTGTTAGCCTTTATCTTGTATTCACATCTATTAAGTACATGGTATGTTGCAATGATATCCACCTTGCTATGTGCTCAAAATGCGGTTGTGCCCCAATCATGAATTCATGACGTGATTGGGATAGAATCGCATCTTGGGCACGACATGTTGTTATCAGAGCTTTACCGACCTTAGGAGCTCCTGCTTGATCAAATCGCTGACGTTGTTGAGTCTAGAACAAAACTTCTTTATGTCTTAGAATTATATATATCAGATGGTAGGATTCTTTTTACTCCTCAGCCCCCTTCATCGCTCTGGTGAGGACTCCTGACGTAGATGTTTTTACTTCACTCTCCTCTTTTTCACTCAATTTTTTTAGGATCACGCGGGGATTGTTGGATCGTTGCAATATCATTATGATGGGGATTCTGTCTTGGTGCCTCCTGACATTTAGGGGTTGTGGCAGTGTCCCAGGGAGTTGAGCTCCAAGGTGTTTTTGTCACAGTGCTTATCGTTTCAGTTCCGGAATACCAGAGTTCACCAACATCGAAAACACTTCTATACTCTTTGTGGTGAGAGTAGTTTGACGACACCCAGTATTGGGGAGAGCGATCAGATGTATTGCCACATCTAGTATATCGGATGTTTTCGAAGGTCTGAGGTACACAATTTCCGAAGGTTTCTTGGTTATGTGTTGAAGGATGATATAGTTGGAGCGTAGGGCTTGTTAGTTGTGTGATATATTTGTGCCTCCCTGTATCCCCAACACCAGATTACATAACCAGAAAGTTTCAGGAGTTAATAGGTGGGATTTCAAGTAGTTACCTAGGATATCTTTCCGACAGATGCATGATATGAGATTGGGGTTCGATGTCTAGTGGTCGGCCTGTCCACGGTTGGTTTTACAGTGGTCTCGTTGTGTCTAAAAGAGTCCTTGGCTATGCTGACTCGGGGATGCTTCGTATGTCGTGTGCACTGCCTTGCACATGATGGTGTTGTATGATCGAGTCCGTGCGGGCCCCACCACAAAAATTTCGGATGAAATCTCTATTATATGTTTGTTTCCGGCTTATTCTTTTAGCCCGATCCCTGTTTTGTTTTGGTTTTGGTATTCGAGTTGCTTCCAAGTCAAGTGTCGATTCCATACCTTTCCTAAGCGGTGTTCTCATATTTCTATGGGAGTGCTAATCCTTCTTGATTATCGAGATTGTCATGTCAATCCGTTTTCGACCGGTGCACTTCTCTTCAAGTTATTCCATACAGGCGTCGTTGAGGAGCCTGAGGATTCGTTCGTTTCATCCATCCCAAGTTGCATTTCTTTTCACACCCTCCCACCTTTTTCTTCAAAGACTCAGAGATATGAAATCAACTATCCATTTTATTCATGATAAGTCTCTCCATTTTTCCCCTTCAATGTTCTTATCCGGTGTTTCCTCGTGAAGATGCTCACAAGCTTCAAGTTTATCATTTTTTCATTCCCTTTTCTTCTCCGGTGGACATAATTCAAGCTTCTGTCTTAATCATAACCCTTTCTTTTGTTTCACATGTTTTATCATGTTGCAATATCTTAACCAAGTCTCTCTTATCTATTCACCTCTCTCTATTTATATCCGGAGTGCTGAAGATATCTCTGAAGATTCGCGCTTCTATTCTAGATCCGTTCAAGCTATCTCGAGGTTGTTACCTAATTCAAGCCATTTAAATCTTATTGGTGCATTATCTCTTCCTAAGCTATTATTTCCAAAGGTGTTCTCTTTTGAGTGGGCCCTAACCCACAGGTCTTTTCCCAGGATCTTACCTGTCTCTTCTAATTTTTTCCTAAGCTATTCTCAAACTCTTTTCAATGTTTGACATAATAATGGATTCCATCAGTCTTACGCATTCTCCAAGATTGTTTCAAATCGTTCTCATTTTTTGCTGAACCTTTCTATTCTTCATTCCAGAGTGCCTCAACAAATCACGGTGGTGTTTCTCATCGTCATTCTCGGATTTTGAAGTCCAAAGAAGAGTTCCTCTTAAATCCTTACCCATTTTCCAAAGATTCATGGTTCTAGCTTTATGCCATCCTCTCATAATTGTTTTTCAGTTGTGAGAATTCTTTTCAACCATCAAAAGAAATTCAGGAGTCTTTTTAGTTCGATTCTCCAGATCCCATCATCTCAGAATTATTCATTCTCATCTTTCACCTTTCGTTCTCCAAATCTTATTGGTGCATCGTTTAAGTATTCTGTTACCAGCTTGTCACCTCTTCATTCTCTTGTATCTAAATTCATTCAAGTATCTTCGCTCGTTTTCTAATTCTTCCCGGTGATTCATCCCTTTGCTACATTCTTTTTCAATTCTTACGGTGGTTCATTCAACATTCCTATTCCTTTATTATCGTATCATTTCATTCATTCTTTTCAAGTCCTACCAGTGCATCGTTGAAGACCTTCTCCAAGTTTGCGCTGTATATCTCCTCAATCCTTTTCAAGAGGAATAAGTTCCATGCCAAATCCGTTTGTCACCAATTAAATTTGATGAGGATAAGCATAATGTAATTCTTATTCTCATTTATCGTGGTCAAGTAATTCCTTCCTTCGGAGATTGTTCATGGTGAATAATTTCTCGGATCTAAGTTGTTCGTCTTTTCTTTTTCGGAGTTACAAGTTTCCAAGGCCATCTCATCGGAACCTCCATCTAAGTCATTGCAAGGCTTTAATCTTATTATTTTGATCCTTCAATTCCGTCTCATCATCCTTTTGTTACCAGAGTTCTTCATGGTGGTTCATTAAGGATTTAATTCATTCTTCTAGAGTTCGTCAAGATTCTTGTTCGAGGAGCTCACGTATTCTTCATCTTGCATTCCAATGTGCAATTCTTTCTACCTTATCTTTTGAGGTGGTGTTATGTCACTCTTGACAATTTCCCTTCGTGTTTCATGATTCACAAGTTATCAGGAATGAGATACTTTAAACCCATCATTTTCAATTCGTTCAGGAGATCTTTTCAACCCAACAATTTCTTCGTTGGTGTTATCTTGGTATAGATTTCACTTAAAGCCTTCCTAAGGAATGTTGCTATTATGGTGTTTATCAATGATCCAAGGTTCCTCCTATTCTCGCGGTGAAATAAGTTTTTCCATCTCTTCGTTCCTCTCAGCTAATCAATCTTTTGGTAGTGGCTGGTTGTCACCTCATAATTTTGAGATGTCTCCATAAGCCCACAAGGATCATATCCTTTCGTATTGATCTTCCAACAACTCCATTCAATCCTTCTTTGTACGGATGCTTTTCAAATTCAATTGTTGTAGAAGTTGTCATTTTCTTCTTCGTCCCTTTATCCCAATAATATAGCTTCTATTCTTTCATTCCTGAGGTGTCGTGATGTTGCTCTCTTTGACTCGTCATCTCGTTTTATCAAGATCGTGTTGTTTTTGTACTTATCCATTTATCAGGAGTGTTGTGTCCTCTATCAAGTTATTTTCATCTGATCAAGTCTTGCATCTCTTTTCAACCAGAGTGCTGCCAAAATTCTTCCATTCTCATCTTGGGTCAACCGGTGTGGTTTCATATTCTTTTTGGTTGTTAAGCTTTTTTCATGTCTTTCAACCTACAAGGTTCTCATAACGTTCCTCGTTCCTATTTTCTAACGAGTGTTTTCAACTTCGTCCATCTCCATTGTATTCTTTCCTCGAAATTGTTTAACCTCTCAAGGTTCTTTGGTTTCACTCATTTCTCAAAGAATCAAGTTTGTTTACCTCTTCACTTCCTCTTCCGTTTGCCATCCTTAGATCTCGGGGCGAGATCTCTTATAAGTGGAGGAGTGTTGTGACGACCCGAGACCGATGCTCTAGATGCCGTCCAGTTATTTCATTGTCGCTATGAGTTGTATTAGGTTGTTGCATTCATCATTGCATCATTTGCATTGCATCGGTAGTCCGCTGCCGTCGTTTTAATGAAACTCGTAGCCGTTCGTAGTTGCCGCTTCTCTCCTTGTCTCTGTGGGATGTTGTCAGACCACTTGTCTTCGTTGACCATTCTCAATCCAACCCCACACTTGACCACGACTGCCTGACATCTCTCTGCACAGTGCGCAGACCCTCGCGTGCGCGTCCCAAACTTGCCCCGAACCCGACCAGAGCTGTTGTTACCGATGGGTCCGGATCATCCCCAAACATCCCTAAAATATCTTCGGTTTCTTTGTTGACTATCCTAGACTATTTTTCTTGACCGTTCGATTTTGATTGGAGGGTCCGTTTTACCTCTAAGCAGTCCACCTAGCTATTTAAATAGTCTAACCCTAGATTTTAGGTAGTATGTCCCATCCATCTCATCGCCGCCGCCGCAATCTTCTTCCACCTTGTTTTCCACAATTCCCTAACCAGAAACTCCCCTCGATCCACCCAATCCTACAACCCTCCTCCTTGCTCGATCCCTCGCGACCAAGGAACCAGCAACCTCGACCACCTTGCAACCGAAGCTCCCCTACACCACCTCGCCGAAGATGCGGCCTCCCCTGCTTCCTCTTGCGCCTGCAGCAGCGCCCGAGCCTCAAGTGCGCCTCCACCTCCCTTCCAGAGCAGAAATAGCGGCCAACCTTATGAGCACCACTGCAGCCTTCCCCCACCACTTCTCCTTCTATCTCTCTCTCCCCCGGTCTCTCATCTCTCTCTCTGGTTGCTGCAGGGAGTTGGAGCAGCCATGGCGCCTGAGCGCCTCAAGTTCATCACCCGCCATCCGGCCAGGCCCTCCACCGCCCGGATCTGTTCCTCCCCTCACCTCCCTACTGTTGAGCCCCGCGCCAAGTCCACTGCCGCCATGGATGTCCCGATGCGGGAGCTCGCTGTCGACTGCGCCCGACGTCGCCAGCCTCCGGATCCGTCGAGCCCCGGCCTCTCTGGCCTCTCCGTCGTGGGATCCTTCGAGTCCCTCGAGTTCATCTAGTGCTGCCTGCATCGAGCGGGACAAGTCCGCGTTGACCCTGCACTCGATCTAGCAGTGAAGCCGCTCGCCCCTTTGACTTCGTCCACCGCACGCACCTGGGCCGTCTCCCCTTCACCCGTTGACCGCGGCCCAGCCCACTCCTTCCCACTGCCATGGGCCAGGCCCAGCTGGGTGAGCCTCCAGCGCCCATGCTCCCATCAGGCTAGTCAGATCCGGCCCGTAGTTATTTTTTTCTGCTCCTGCGAATTTGTCCAATTATCCAGAAGTTGTAGTTTTTATCTATAAACCCCTAGAGTTCATGCATTAATATCTCACAAACCATGAGTTAGAATTTCATCCAGTTTCATAATATGTAGCTTTCATCCATGTTAAAAATGATTAAATTGAGGTTGGCATTTAATTTGTTAAATGCCATGCTAAAATAGTTTATTTCATAACTAATTAACCATAGCTCCGAATTAAATAAATTTTATATGTAAATGGGGTAGAAAAATGCATAGTTTAACATGGTGGCATTACTTTGCAGGTTTAACAACTCTAAAATATGGTATAGGGCAGAACAGTACCAAATTCAAAATATGCATATAGGGATTTTCCATAATTATTGTTGTTGTTTCCGACCTCATTTAAATTGCCTAAAATGTGTAGTTTACTTATGCCTCACCTCTTGCCATGTTAACCAACATTTAACATTGTTGAGTACATAAAGGAGAGTTAACTTAATAATTAAATGTGGTATTTGTTCAATATGCAACTCATTGTATATTGAGCTCCACTTAACTTGTAGTTCTGTTTGTTGCACTTTTCCATGCCATGCCTCAATAAACCGGACATGCATCATACATGATTGTGCATCATGCCACGTTTATGTGATGGTTGTTTACCATGATGTTTTCTTCATTCCGGTTGCGCTTCTCCTTCATAGTTCCGGTTACGTTGCGATTGTGAGGGTCTGTTCGACTATGTTGGTTCGACTACTTCATGGATCCGGTCTTCTTCCTAGCGGGATTCCAGGCAAGATGACCGTCACCTTGGATACCACTACTATATTTGCTATGCTAGTTTTCTCGATGCTATTGCTACATCGCGCTACCTATCACTTGTTTATCAAGCCTCCCAATATGCCATGAAATAGCATCTAACCTTTTCCACAAACTGAGCAAACCGTTGTTTGGCTATGTGATTGCTTTCCTCAGGCCCTCTTATAGCGTTCCTAGTTGTAGTTGTAGTTTGATACGTCTCCAATGTATGTATAATTTTTTATTGTTCCATGCTATTATATTATTTATTTTGGATGTTTATGGGCTTTATTATACACTTTTATACTATTTTTGGGACTAACATATTAACCGGAGGCTTGCCCAAATTGTTGTTTTCTTGCCTATTTTAGTGTTTCGAAAAAAAGGAATATGAAACGGAGTCCAAACGGAATGAAACCTTTGGGAAAGTTATTTTTGGAACGGAAGCAATCTAGGAGACTTGGAGTAGACGTGAGGGAAGCTTCAACGTGGCCACGAGGTAGGGAGGCGCGCCTGCCCCCTGGGCGCGCCCCCCACCCTCGTGGGCCCCTCGTGGCTCCCCTGACCGACTTCTTTCGCCTATATATGTCCATATACCATAAAAACATCGAGGAGAAGAATAGATCGGGAGTTCCGCCGCCAGAAGCCTCCGTGGCCACCAAAAACCAATCTAGACCTATTCTGGCACCCCGCCGGAGGGGGGGATCCCTCTCCGGTGGCCATCTTCATCCTCCCGACGCTCTCGATGACGAGCAGGGAGTAGTTCACCCTCGGGGCTGAGGGTATGTACTAGTAGCTATGTGTTTGATCTCTCTCTCTCTCTCTCTCTCTCGTGTTCTTGAGGTGGTACAATCTTGATGTATCGTGAGCTTTGCTATTATAGTTGGATCTTATGATGTTTCACCCCCTCTACTATCTTGTGATGAATTGAGTTTTCCCTTTGAAGTTATTTTATCGGATTGAGTCTTTAAGGATTTGAGAACACTTGATGTATGTCTTGCATGTGCTTATCTGTGGTGACAATGGGATATCACATGATCCACTTGATGTATGTTTTGGTGATCAACTTGCGAGTTCCGTGACCTCGTGAACTTATGCATAGGGGTTGGCACATGTTTTCATCTTTACTCTCCGATAGAAACTTTGGGGCACTCTTTGAAGTTCTTTGTGTTGGTTGAATAGATGAATATGAGATTGTGTGATGCATATCGTATAATCATACCCATGGATACTTGAGGTGACATTGGAGTATCTATGTGACATTAGGGTTTTGGTTGATTTGTGTCTTAAGGTGTTATTCTAGTACGAACTCTATGATAGACTGAACGGAAAGAATAGCTTCATGTTATTTTACTACGGACTCTTGAATAGATCGATCAGAAAGGATAACTTTGAGGTGGTTTCGTACCCTACCATAATATCTTCGTTTTTTCTCCTCTATTAGTGACTTTGGAGTGACTCTTTGTTGCATTCTAAGGGATAGTTATATGATCGAATTATGTTGTTATTGTTGAGAGAACTTGCACTAGTGAAAGTATGAACCCTAGGCCTTGTTTCCTAGCATTGCAATACCATTTGTGCTCACTTTTACCACTTGCTACCTTGCTGTTTTATATTTTCAAATTACAAAAACCTTTATCTACCATCCATATTGCACTTGTATCACCATCTCTTCGCCGAACTAGTGCACCTATACAATTTACCATTGTATTGGGTGTGTTGGGGACACAAGAGACTCTTTTCTATTTGGTTGCAGGGTTGTTTGAGAGAGACCATCTTCATCCTACGCCTTCCACGGATTGATAAACCTTAGGTCATCCACTTGAGGGAAATTTTCTACTATCTTACAAACTTTTGCACTTGGAGGCCGAACAACGTCACCAAGAAGAAGGCTGTGTAGTAGACATAAAGCTCTTTTCTGGTGCCATTGCTGGGGAGGTTAGCGCTTGAAGGTATATCTTTAGATCTTGCAATCGAATCTTTTTTTTTCTTGTTTTAGCACTAGTTTAGTTTATAAAAAAATACTAAAAAATGGAATTGAGTTTGCCTCATACGCTCCATCTTTTTAATATCTTTCGTGAGAAAGATGGAAAGGAAAATTGTGCTCAAATGCTAGAAGAAGAAGTATATAAAATGTTTGGCACTAAATCTTTGAATGATGAGCATGATTGCAACGTTGTTAGTATGAACTCCTCAAATATCCATAGTACTAATGATGATTGCACTAGTCATGATGAAAATGTCTCTTATAAGCATGTCAACTTTTGTGGAATATATAGAGCCTGCAAGTACACACCAATTAGGGAAAAAAGATTTTGCAAGAGGAATAAGTATGTTGCAAGAAAGGCTAGATTTTGTGCTAAAAATTTAAAATTTCTTCACAATACTTGTGAACTTTGCAATGAACATGGTGATGCGGAGCATCCCAAGGCCATCCCCATGGACCTACCTACATCTCCCACGACACCACTTGGACCCATGACAAGAGCCCGTGCGAGAACCATCGAGAACGAGGTTAACTCTCTCCTTGTTGAACTTCCCTTTGACCCACGTGAGACATGGCTACTACCTCAATCGGAGTTGCTCTGTGTGCTTAGGTACCAGATAAGCAACCAAGGAGATGCAACGGTGCAAGATGGACATCAAGAGCATGGAGACATTTTGCCCATCCCGAAAGGACCGGAACAACGGCTCGACCACCGCCCGGGCGGAACAACCGGCTGACTACCGCCCAACAACCGTCTGCCTTCTGTGATCGAGCGGTGCAAGGCCGGCACTACACCGGATGTGCCGGTAACTACCAGAAGACCGGTACTGCCACCCCGACAACCGGTACAACCGCTGGCCCCTTCGACGTCCATCTCCGCAAGCCAGCGCCAGACCTCCCAGCGGAAATACCGCCTTCCAGGACCGATACTTCCGCCCTGCATGAGCTCCCAGCGGAACAACCGCCCCCTTGACCGGTACTACCGGCCCTGCCTGCGCACAGTCACTTGGGCCAAGGCCCGTGTACCCTTTCGTTACCTAGACTATAAATACTCTATCCCGTACAACTTTCTAGGGTTAGCATTGGTTTAGCTCATTTGAGAGATAGAGCATTGATCATCCATATCGGATCTACTCCATGAGAGAGACCGCGGCCCCTCTACGGAGAAGATCCACCTTGGATTCAAGACCCCTTTATGGGAAGATCCCCTTGTGGATTCAAGACCTCCTCTCAGAGAAGAACCGACTACCCTTTTGTGTCGTCCTTAGTTGACCATGGATTCGTGTATCATTCTATGTACACGAGGATCTAGCACATGTGTGACTTGTTCTTATTTGGTTTGAGTGACTCTCTTGTGTTTCCCCTCGTCTTCTTTCCCGTGTTCTTCGTGTTCATCGTTGGGATCCGCTCCTTTCATGAAAGATCAGCCTATAGGGTTCTAACCTACATCATCTTGGATCAGAGCCAGCTTGTCTCTTGATACCATCATCTTGGTATCATGAGCAAGGTTAATCACGATTTCAGAGCCTCCCCGTTGTGTTTCTAGCCTAATTTTGTTGTTTTTCGTCCTAATCCAAAAATCCCCACCATAAATAGCCCTAATTTTTTTGTGATTTGTTGGTGTGTTGATGTTTTGTTGGATCTGATCCGTGGATTTGCTTTGGTTTCAAGTGGATCTAGCATCTCCCCATTTCTCTCCACATTCCATCCTTGAAGTCGCTCGAATTTCGACAACGAAATCATCCCTTTCCGTCCCAAAAACCCATCCCCGATCCAGATCTTGCGATTTTTCCGACCACAGCGGTACTACCGCCCCCACGAGCGGAACTACCGCTAAGGCACCAACCGGTACCACCGCCTTCACAAGCGGTACTACCGCCCCACAAAGTTTCAGCTGAAACCGACTGGCATCTTTGCCAACCACTTATACACCATCACCACTTCCGCATACTACCCCCGCTTTTTGTGCCAGTTTCGCCCTCCGACACGAGTTG